CCTATTGGCTCTTTCATAAAAATCAATATCCTCAAATTCTTTGCTCTGATTACCACTCTTGTCACGACCCGGCCCGGTTAGCTCGTAAGTGCGAGGCGGGAACAGAGATCGGACAGAAAGAAGATAAAAGAAACTTTACAAAACAAATATATATAACTCCAAAATGAAGCATCAACATAAAGAAAGAGCCACTACAATCTTCAAACATAAATTTTTTCTTTTCTTTCATTAAAAAAAAAATCACTAATAGATGGATTCAGCATTAAGTTTACAAAAAGATACAAAAGGGGATCCACAAGTGTAACCTTTTTCTTTTACATTCCATTTCTAATCTTTCTATACAAAACATCAAAACACAAAAGAACCTGCCGCCCGTCGTCTCCCTACGACGGTAGCTGCGCGGTGGTTGGTCGGCCATTTACCCTTTCCTAGATCCTCCTGAAAAGTATTCCTACAACGAGGGTGAGTCTTATACTCAATAAGTGAGAATGGAAATTCAAATAAACTTAGAATCAAGAGAGAAAACTATAACATGCTCTGAGTAATTTAGCAAAAGAATCATCAATCATATAACAAGTTGTGCTCAAAGAAAAGTATACATTTACCTCAACTTTCAAATGCTTAATCCTTCCATAACCTTTCCTTTCTTCCTTTTTAAAACATCATGCCTCAAGTGATAATCTCAAATGCATATAACATGTGTATGAAATATTCATAACAGTTTAATATATATATAACTATAACACCCGTCTCAGGAGTATCACTTGTACTGATAAGGTACATATAAATTGGCCATTTCCTTTTCCATTGGTTCATAGGAACTATCTTTTTCCATGGCTCATAAGAACCTCCTTTTCCATGGCTCATAAGAGCCTCCTTTTCCATGTGATACTCCCGCGTCAACATGCACATACATGTATTATTTATGTAACCATAAGATATGCTTGATGTAAATCATTCTTAAACTAACCACTTGTATATTTCCTTAAAGAAATGCATGCTTGATATGCTTATGTGTGCTTTTGCAAGTAAGAGTAAAGACATGTATAGCATAAAAAGAGAAATGAGCATGTGATCCATTCCTGAATTTTACATTTGCATAAAGAAAACCTTTGCCTTTGCTTTTAATGTCCATGAACTTTTACAAAGAAGCAAGAGTCATAAAAAGATATCATAATAAGCATGAAGGAATTTACCATTTCTATGTAAATGTAATTAAAGAAAGGTTAGCTATTATTTATAAAAACTTTCATTCTACTTACCTCAATTCGTGCCCCCCCTTTCGTTTGTCCGATCAACTCTTTCCCTCCACACGTTGTATATTTAAAAGAAACATTTAAAGAAAAGCATAAGTGACTAATTCCTACACAATAAACTAAACTTTAATTCTAAAGTAATAAAAGGGATATTTCTATGTTTTGTTTAAGTTCCAAAACAAACCCTTTCCATATTTCATGAAATCTCTCAACCAATTTTCTCTCATTAAAAGTTTAGGCCAAATCCTTAGATTCTAAGCATACAACACCCTTCCTCACCTCCAAAACATCATTAAAATAAATTCAATTTTCGGAATTAAATAAATCAAAAATTAAAAAATATAGTTTTTTAAGCAAACACCATGTATTTGCTTTTAAAATCCTCCCAACAACCTATGAAAACCATGGGGATCAAAAATATCATGATTGGGGAAAAACCCTAAATCCATAAACTCAAAATTTGGCTTAAACCTTACAATGTCTTTCTATAAAAACTTCCCCATACCCTTAGAAATATCTTTTGTTAAAGCAATTCCAAAGAATATAAATTTTAAGTAAAATGCTAATTTTCAAAATTCATATTTTGATAAAAGAAATTACATATTAGGGTTTAGAAACATCACACTACCCTTCCCTAAACTTTTCTCAAAAATCTCAAAGAAAACTTAAGTTTTCTCAAAACCCTAGTTTTCATTACTTAGGGAAAACTCAAGAGAAAGGAAGAAAAACTTTAGCAAAACACATACCTTAGCCTTCCCTTAGTCTTCCCTACAATTTCCCTAGCTTTCTTCGCCGGAAAACTCGCCGGAGCCGCCACCCGAGGAGTTCCCCTCCGCCTTGCCCGTCCGCCCTTACCTCCCCCTTCGATTCGGTCGCACGAAGGAATGAGGGGACCGAATAGAATTGGTCCCCTTAAGGCTTAGGAGTTAAGGGAAAGGTCTAATTACATATTTTCCCTCACTTAAGTAACCCATACTTGAATAAACATTAAGGGTACTTTGGGTATTATGAGACTTCTCTTAATTTTAATTCCTAAATTAAGCAAAATTAAATATAAATTCTATACATCAAATTTCTTAGAATTTTGCATAGAATTTTTCAAAATTATTTCCATCGAAATTCGACAACCTCGAATTTTTCACTTAAAACTCGTCGCGACGCTTTGAAAAGCGTGCGAGGTCTAAAATGACGTTTTGCGGGTTTTACAATTCTCCCTCCCTTATAAAAATTTTGTTCTCAAAATTTAAGACAAGCTTAAGAAATCATACCTTAGACAAATAAGTGAGGGTAGCTCTCCCTCATTTTCTGATTCCTTCTCCCAAGTAGCATCTTTCTTCCATGCTTCCACATAACTTTGACATAAGGAATCTCTCTACTACGAAGCTGCTTAACATCATAATCTATGATCTTCTCAAGTTCTTCTACAAATGTCAGATCTGGTTGGATGTCTATTACTTCAGTACTTATCTTCAGGGCTTCATCTGAAATGTATTTCTTCAGGGAAGAGATGTGGAATACATTATGTACTCCACTCATGTGAGATGACAAAATCAATCTGTAAGCCACACTACCAACTCTCTCTGAAATCTCAAAAGGGCCAACATACCTTGAACTCAATTTCCCAATATTGCCAAATCTCTTTACACCCTTCATAGGACTAACCTTGAGGAATACAAACTCTCCAACCTCAAACTCAACAAATCTATGTTTGGCATCATAGTACTTCTTCTGTCTATCTTGCACAGCCTTCAATCTATCACGAATCCGTCTTATCTTTTTAGTAGCATCATCTACTAAATCAGCTCCAATGATCTTTCTCTCCTGCCTCAGCCCAACATAAAGGAGTTTTACACCTCCTTCCATATAAAGCTTCATAGGGTGCCATACCAATACTTGCCTGGAAGCTATTGTTATAGGCAAATTCAATCAATGGAATGTGTCTCCCATTTACCACCAAAATCTAGTACACATAATCTGATTAAATCCTCCAATGTCTGAATAGTCCTCTCTAATTGACCATCTATTTGAGGGTGAAAGACTGTACTGAAAGTATGTCTAGTGCACATTGCCTCTTGAACCTTCCTCCATAATCTAGAGGTAAATCTCCCATCTCTATCTGATACTATCGATCTTGGTAAACCATGAAGTCTATCAATCTCATTAATATAAACACTTGCCAACTTCTCAACAGCATCAGATTGTTTCATAGGTAAAAAGTGCGCTGACTTGGCCAACCTATCAATGATCATCCATAAAGCATCATGACCAGTTCTAGATCTAGGCAATCCAACCACAAAATCCATGGCTATGTCTTCCCACTTCCATTCTGGTATAGGTAAAGGCTGCACTGGCTTTTGATGTTCTACCTTAACCATCTGGCAAACTGTATACTTAGCCACAAATTCTGCTACACTTTTCTTCATCCCTGGCCACTAAAAGTATTCCTTCAAATCTTGGTACATCTTGTTGCTACTTGGGTGAATTGTATAACGTGAATAGTGAGCTTCCTGAAGGATGTCCTTCCTCAAATCTCCAACATTACGGGTACAAATTTTGCCTCTATACCGTAGTAGCTCATCCTCA